TATATATATATATATATTTATTTATTTATATTTATATATAACACTTCAATTTTATATTTACATGCTGTTAAATTCTAAAATGTCGAGAAAATCACACCAAAAAAATATAACGTATGGAGGAGAGTGACAGACGAATAGAAAGTGAATTGTAGAGTTAGAGTTTCTAACTCTTTATTCATAAAATGATCTCTTATTTGTAGTTATAGGAAATGTCCGGAGTACATAATTATATTTAAGACTCTTTTGCTACAAAGAAGCTTAAGGGTATTAAAGTTTTTAATACAATTTAAATCTATAAGTATTATCAATAATAGATTAATCGATTGACTATGATGACTCTCGATCATTAGTACACATCCATTCGTTTGGCGATGGAGAACCATATCAGTCTCTTGACCAACATTTTAAGCTTAAAATAAGTCTTTGAACCGCCTCCATCGTTCATCTGGAAGAGAGTTGTTTGTTCGTTCAACCTATTATGTTGGTCAACTCGCATGCCAATGGAAATGACTTGTCATAGCTTTGAGACATCCTCCTCTTGACTCAACATTGATTTTTGCTCAAACAAAGCGAACAAGTGTTTGATTGGATTTCTGCATACTTTGATTGTTGGCTCATCTTATCATGACATGTATACACATTTCTCTCCGAGATTTGTGTTGTCACGATTCTGTCATAGACAAGCATAACACTCAAATCTTAAATATCATATTAAAAATATACTTTTCTACATGTGAAAGATATATTTTCAAGCATAGGATTATAATACCAAGATTTATAAATAAAAAAAATAAATAAATTGTAAGTGTTAGATATGTAATATTTAAAAAGTGTGTGGTATGTATGTAAATTTCTCATAAAAGTGATTGAAGACAGAAGGAAAGAGGAAATGGAGGAAAAATAGCCACTATTTTAATAAAACTTTAGATTATTTTGTTTTGTTTCATTTTATTTATATTTTGAAGTAAATAAGATTATGTTTAATGTCATGTTATTTATTTTTATTTCTAAATAATAAATAAATTGATTTACATTATGGTTAAGGGTGTAAACAAAACTCGCTCGTGTTCGGCTCGTTTATATTTCAAGCTTCGTTTGCTTAGCAAGTCGAACACGAGCCATTCACGAACAAAAAATTGTTTTAACAACCCTAATCATATAGGCATAAGATGTTAAGGATTGGGACAAGATTTAAAACATCATTTGAATATAATTTAATAATTTTTATTAATCTAATTTAATAATTTTTATTATATTTTCTTAATTAATAATTTAAATGATTATAAATCTTTGCAACCTTGTAGTCAATTAAAATTTTTTAAAATATTACCCATCATATGTGTATATGTATATATATATATATATATATATACGTTTGGATTATTTTATTTTATTTTATTTTGTTTCATTTTATTTATATTTTGAAGTAAATAAGATTATGTTTAATGTCATATGATTTATTTTTATTTCTAAATATTAAATAAATTGATTTACATAATGGTTAGGGGTGTAAACAAGGCCCTCTCGTGTTCGGCTCGTTTGTTTAGCAAG